CATTATTTTACTGAATATTATCTAGGAGAGATTTATGATCACAGAAAAGAGATATCTACGACAGGACATGTTGAAGACTACTGGACTGATACACCACCCAAAGGGAATATCCATATTATAGTTGAGCCGCCTGTACAAGTGATATTCATCCCGGTGCATGGAGCACCAGTGGTGAAGATTAAACCTCATAATATTGAGTTCAAGGAAATGGTCGGTTGTGAACAAACTGAACTGTATGTACATGATTCAGTTTTCTTGTCATTCCATTGTTTCGTATGTCTAATGTTTTCTTTGACTGTTATCTACCCAATAGGAAACCTGTTTTATATGGACTACCTGATTATGACCTCTATATGTATCTTGATGATACTGGACTTTTAAAAGATCTGCCAAGAAACGCCTTGGCAACTTGTTTATTATATGGAAGAAAAATGGATCAAGTTCCTGGAGTACGAGGACACGTTGTGCTCTACGATTCTTACAAGCAGCTAACCCTTGATGACTTTCGATTCATACTTTCCACTGCACAAAACCTCAATTGATATACCAATGGGTTAAAAAAAAAATTTTCGACATTATCAGAAATAACAGACATATATATAAATCACTCATTTTTTTTTGGAAAATAAATTCATGATATACATACCATAATAATTAATATCAATTCGTTTTTTTATTTTGATGTTTGTTAAGGTAAATAATGAATTCAAATAAATTCAATTCATGAGACAAAATGGCATTACATGTTTTAAAGTTTTCTACGTTATTATTTGAATTATTTGTAATTAATATTGAATATCCAAGTTACATTTCATTATAAAAATTGCACCTACCAAAAGTCATCCCAAATTTTGATCATTTTACAAATAGGCGAAGGAAGATTAGAATTTCATAATTTATATATGTATATTTTGTTAATGTAAATTGTTTTATAGAAAACTTTGGAGTGAAATGTTCCCTTAGTTCAAAAAACTTATAATAAATTCCATTGCCATTTGTGATATTTTTTCAAATTCAATTAATATTCAAATAATTCAAATAAATTAGAGATTGATTATCAGAATGGTATAGAACTCTGAAGGTTGATTAACCAGTGTAATGTAGCAAGGTTATTTGCTCAGTAAAGAAGCAAAGGACTATTCCTAATGTTTCAATAAACGAAGCTGTAAAGCTTTTGAAACTGTTTTTAATTTTCTTGAACAAAAATATATAAAAAAATGAATTAAAAGCTTTAAAATTCAATGTAAATGTTGTGCGTGAAAATGAAATCTGTGAATTTGCAATTCACTTATGTGAAATTCAAATTAGCTAATCAGAATTTCATATCCAAACATCCCACCCCAAAATTTTAACAATTTCTAATTTTTTCAGTAATAACTGATTATTTTAATTTTTTAAGTATTATTATATGAGGCATGCTGCAACAAAACCAGACAAAGTGAACATTGGTATTACCAAGAATTTAAGAGATCAAAATTTAGTAATGTGATTATTAAAATCTCTCATTTGTTTGTTATCTTTGTTTTTTTCCTTAATATTAAGTGATA